CATCATCTGAAGCACTGGAGCAGGAAGGTCACAGGGAGGCTGTTTGGCTGGTTGGCATAACTAAGCAATGCTCAGACTGCGAGATATTAACTTGACTCCACTGCTTTGAGCACGCCTAACACGGGCCTTCCTCCTCTTCCTTCCCAGTTTTAGCCAGCCCTTGTGCCTCCCAGCTTGAAGTTTTCATATTCAAAACAAGGCTGCTTTCAATCGCAGCTGCATCTGCAGTAACCGTGACACCTGCTCAAAGCAGTGCCAGCCCTTTGCCTTCTGTCCTTTGAGTGGCCTTCTGCAAAGCTGTACAGCCCATTATGCATAAGTACTACATTATCCCCCTTTACTGACTATAGGACACATTAAGGCAACACAAGGTAACAGCTTTCTGTTTTGCTCTAAAACCCAAGCAACTACAGCTAGAAAAACAGCTGAGCAACCTACCATTGTCTTGGTTCTTACCCTCTGTTCTCACCTTTTTAGGATTCGTTTAGTTCTTCATTAACAGACATAGGCATAAAACCACGTGTGTGCCCTATGGCTGCAGCCCACGTGTGCCAACAGGTTGCCGTGTCCCATGGCACTCTGCGGCTGGGAGCGCCCCACCAAGGGCAAGTTCAGGCATGCAGTCTGACCACATCTACCAGAGGAGTACCATGTGGAGGGGAAAAGGAAAAGTGCATTTCCCAGGAAAGGCTTGGGAGTGTGACTTTTTGCCAGTTTTGCTTTGAATAATTAGCACTGCTCAGGAATGCAGGCTGTGCTGTCAATAGTGAGTTGTCTGGTTACACACACACTGAGGTTGTCTCCCCATCTGCCAGCAGCATCCAAGATCCCAATGCAAAGCACTGCTCTCCCACACAGAGTGGGCCCATGGCCCCTCTGTGAGGCCAGACTCTGTCCCAGGGCTTGGCAAAAATGCAGAGATCTCCAGACAGGGCAGCCGGCAGGGAGCAGGCAGGCACCTGGAGTGCCCACTGTCATCTTCAGACTGGAATCCATTGCAGCATCTGACAAACTTTGCCTGTGCAAAAAGGCCAGATTCAGAGGCAAAAGAAAAAAAAACCCTCCGTTTATTTCAGAAAGGCAGTTCTAAACATTTCCTTTTCTCCTCCCCCACCTCAGTACAGTCCCATCCCCAGAGTAAAGGTTAGAGAAGAGGTCATGTTCAGTGGGACATGCTGCAAGCACAGGCACGACACAGATGTCTTCTCAATGAACAGCATCTGCCCTACTTGTACCGCACTGTCGCACAATCAGATGAGTCTGTGTCATATAGAAACTAGGTTAAATGAAAGGAGTGTAGCTCTGTGAACCTTAATGTCAGCATTGTTTTGCACACTCTGGGTCAAGACTGGAAGGTTTTTATCCATTCTGGTAGAGAGAGGAGTAGGTCCACAGGAGACTTTTCTGACTAAGAGCTAAGGCAGAAAATAGGGATGTGAGGAGGTTGCTGATAGGGAAAAAGACACTATCCTGAAAAATAAGCCTTATCAGCCTAAAAGTGCTTCTTTATGTGTGTGTTTTATTGTGGTTTTAGCTACCCCACTGAAGCCAGCCTTCCCAAAGGACGTGTTGGAGTTGCAAGCCATAAAGCTGCCGATACCGCAGCTTTTCAACTGATCCAAGTCTCCCTGTCACAGTAATAAACACTTTAAATAATAAGCAAATTAACACATTGTGCTGGGGGCAGGTGATTTCCCCTCTGGTGTAGGCATGCTCCCCATCCCTGGCCCCCCAACTCTCATGCCTCCTTTCTGCCCAGGGACAGAGGCAACGTTCCCAAAAACCATGATTTGCAATGTCCAGGAACGTGATGCACACTGACATTAAAAATATCGTTGTGTTAGAAGACGTGGGAGAGCCATGAGCAACCTGAACTACAACTCTGGTCAGGTTATTCATTGTTAACTCCTACATGGGCCAGATCTTACTCAGCAAACACAGGGCAGGGGCCCAGGCTGCGCTTTCACAAGAGGTTCAGCTTAGTGAGAGTGAGAGAGGGTGCTTTATTCTTTGTGGCAATGAAACAGTACACAGCTTTCTCAGGTGATACCACACCTGCCACGTTTTCAGCAATTGCCATTTACACTGGGAGAGCAGGGAGAGGAGATTCATGCAGCCCTGGGCCGGTCTTTAAAGTAAATATTGAACATAAAATGAGACATAAAGTTCATCTAAACAAAAAGTAATTTGTAAGGCATCAGAATATACTCTCCCAAACAAATTTCTGGTGGTAGGCATAGGTTGGGCCAGTAACTTGGTTTACATTGTCTGTAAACTCAGGTTTTATTACAGGTGAGATATTTAAATGCTGCTCATTCAAGCTGAAAGCCAATGACATTGTGCTGGAGTACTTGTTTTTCCATGTGTGTATCCATAGTGTGGCCATCAGCACCAACTGGCTTTCATGGTCTGGGTTACACTTTGTCTTTGCTTTCCGCCTCCGAATTGTATCCTCTTTTTCCTCCTGAAAATCTCCTGCTAAAATGCTGCTTAATACATCTAGAAAACAAGAGGAAATTAACATCGTACAATTGTGTTTGAAGCCCAAATACCAACCAAAAATATTCTGCAATATTAAAAACTATGTTTACAATGTGATAACAGTGTGTTTCCCAGTGTGAATGGTACTAAAATCATAAAAGCAAACACCTTAGGCCATCTTTACAGAGCACAGCTCACAGTATTGGTCCTAGGGGAGCATGAGTACTCCTGTGCTCAGCTGAGGAGCTCTGGTATAACATATCCACTGACCTGCACTTGAACCTACCACTTGCTGTTTTCCTCTTATAATCTAAATCTGGAAATGTGCTGTCTGGTCAGTAGCATACTACCAAATCATTCAGCTAAATGCTCTAGATGCCATAAAAGCGTGCCTGTGCTTGCAGCACCATAGAAAACGAACTTGTAAAATATAGCCCGAGCACGGCTCGCAGCCACCGGTATCGCAGCCGGCACATGTGCTGCTGCGAGGCACCTTTGTAATGCAGCCAGGCAGCAGCTGTGTGCATTGCAGACATTGTGGGTGGGTGGCTGTCTGCGCGCTCAACAGCTGTCCCTGCCGCCACGCCAAGCCAGCACCCGGCCTTCCCAGAGAGCGCCCTGGTCTGTGCTCAGCTAGAGACGAATTTCAGAGCACCCTGTGACAGCGGTGCTCCTGCTCACACCCACCCTCCTCGGTGGGGTTTTGTGGGACTGGGCTGCCTCCACCAGCCACAGTCATGGGGAGAGGCTGGTAAGCCAGGGTGCAGAGTTCACCTCTGGGTAACTCAACTGGCTACCACAGCTGTCTTTGCAAAAAATGACTGCTGACACCAACTATTTTGTGAACATATTTGTGTTAAAAAATACCAGGCAGTACACTGCAGTTTTGGAGTTTTGCGCTTTTTATTCCCCAGTCATGAAGTTCAGTCAAATCCTTCTGTTTTGGTGAGCCTGCACATTTCTGCCTTTCAGCAAATCCTGTGTGAGGACCCTGGTTGAACTAAAGCCATGCACACGTTCGTGATTTCAGCCTCTGCAAAGGATGCTCTTGTTCCCTCCATAAACCTGCTTACCTTATGCCATTGTGTGAGAATAGTAGCCTTTAGTTTTCGTTACCAAAAACAGTTCAAAAGCCTTCATTTCCAGGTCTACTTGGTCTGCCATCAGTGGAGAGATTCTCTTGGCCACATTTGTAGGAGTTCCTGGCTTGTGGTGTGAGGGGGCTGGGGCAGGCAGGCATCTCAAAAACATGAACCATCAGAACTGCATCTTCTCACTGCAATTCAGAAACTGCTGTAGCAGCTGTAGAGGCCACCAAAGGCTTGAATAACAGCGAGTCCCAAGGATACAGGCAGTCAGAGGGAGCAAACTGCATGACCTCGCCTAAAACCACCTGAAATCACTCTGCATCTTTCTGTTGACTTCAGTGATCTTTACCTGCCTCCCTGAAGGAGTAAAAAAGATCCCCACAGATTAAGCGAGATGCGTGAACAGTCAGCCATAGCAGTTTTAAAACTGCTATGTTAAGTGTGTACTTAGATACCTTAACTTTCTACAGGAGTCTGACGCTCTCACAGGTTGGCTTCTGGGGTGTTTTCTGGTTTTGTAGCAGAATCCCCACCAGGCATTTTAACTGATCCTGTGAACAGGGAGCATTTTTCATTGTGAATTTGGTTTTTTCAGGCTGTATGTTGCATTGACACTTGAATAACATTAAGCAAACTGTCGACTTTTCTTAAGCTGTGTCACTTAAAAAGCCTTTAAGCATGACCATACACTTTGCTCATTCTGATTAAAATGCTGGTTTTTTTTAAAGATGCACAATATGCAGGGAAGCATCCACTATGCAAGTGAAACCTTTTTCTTTCCCAGGGTAACTGGCAAGCTCTACTCAATTTTCCATGCTGGTGGCATGCTCTGGCTGCAGAGGCAGGGCTGTGGCCCTTTAGGGAACTGGATGGCAGGGTTGGGCACACAGAGGTATGAATTTTCATGTCTATTTTGGGAATGCACAAAACATGAATGGGGGTCTGACTTTTAAAAATAGGATCTTCTTTACAACTGTCAATACCGAAGCTCCAGGTCAGGACATGGGGATCACAATGATGCAAGTGGAAGTTAAGCAGCTTCAGTGCAGGACTGGGAAACCATAGCTCTAAACCCTTCTGCAACATCTGACTAAAAAGAGAATAGGTCTTCTTACAGAATTAATGACATACTGGAGGGGATTTTTCTAGGCTTGGAAGAGCGAGGGAAGATGGGAAAATGGACAGGATTTTTTAAAATCATTGTCTGGATTTTTTCAGACCAAAATATTCAGCCTTCTTTTTTCCTCTCTCTTCATGTGATCTGCTGCACCCAAAGAGAGGCAGGCACAGGTTAGGTCTTGGGGCCAGCTTGGGCAAGACTTCCTTGTTGTCTGGCTGAGGTCTTTTCTCAGCTGTGGGGCTGCTCTACCTTACATAGAAATGTCTTTTAAAAGCAAACTGAGAAGGGGAAAGAAAAATGGAGTTACACAAAGGATTTCTATCCCACTTGCTCCCTCTGACCTAACAGAGAGGAGAGGCAGGCAGAAGAGAAAACAGAGCTCAGAGGAGCCTCAGCAGATGCTTTTCTGCTGTCTCAAAACACTCTTGGTATTTCCTGGTACACTGAAGATATCTCAGAGCTCGTATCCAGTGGCAGCACAGACACCTTGTGTCTCAGGGAGCCTGACACCCGTGCACAGCTTTGTGATACTGGAGTTGCTCCACTTAGATAACAGCAAACAACAAACACCAGTACCAATGCTTCTAGCAGGCCTTCAGGGCTTGGCAAAGGGGACAAAGGTCTATTTTCATGACCTCTTTATCCCTTGAAAAGCCAACTAAGAAGCCAAAAGAGAGAGTTAGGTCTGTTTTTTCCAGTGAGGCCGGTGGGTCAATGCTAGAAGAAAAGCAAATGATAAAATACATATTATATGAAATTATCAAATCCTAAACTGTATGATAGGAAGTGTCCAGAAACAGTTATTTTCATTACCCACTGAGGACCATCTATCAAGCAACTGATAGACTTTGGAAGCTGTTTCATCAGTGCTTGCCAGACACCCACTTCTCTTATCAGACCTTTGCTCCCAGGGAGCACCGGGCTGGGAGAGCCCTCCTATGCTCACAACTTCTTCTTGGATCACAATGACTTCTTTATATTTACAAAATCTTTATTAGGCTCCAGAGGCCCCAGATAAAGACAAAAGACCATAAAAACGTTCATAAGAGGTCAGACCAAAGGCCCCTCTAGCCCAATAACCCATTTCTAAAACTGACAATAGCAGATGGGAAGAGTACAGGATGAGGGCAATCCTATAATAAAGCTACCATGATATACTCTGTCAACCTCCAGCGATTTGGAGGTCAGGGACTTACTGACCCAGATGTGGTATGTTTGTGTTTGAAGGCAGAGAAGGATTTGAACCTCTATTTCAAGCATTTGAATGCTATAGGAAAAAAACACTTAACTCAGATGGTGAGGGAAATAAATGTTCACTATAAGTGCAAAGCTGGTGGAAGCAGATCAAAAATGCATTTCAGAGCCCAAGACACTACCTCCAAGAAAACACTCAGCTTTCTGAGGCCAAGAAGCATCTTTTAGCCTGACTGCTCAGCCTTTCTGGAGAAGCACTCACCCAGATCTCTTCTTCCTTCCAGCTGATCCTCCCATGAGAAAACAAGGAGGATGAGGAGCTCTCAGCAACATTTAGGGCTGGGATACCTGAAGGCTCCCCATTCAATAATTCAGTCAAACATTAAAGGTTCTTCCAAGAAGAAATAGCAGGTTATGTATGTGTTTCCTTCAGGCATTAGACCAAAACAGTATCTCATACTGGAATGTGGTGGGCAAGTGAATTATTCACAAGCCAGAGGACAACTACTGTCTCAGCTGTAGTTCATGCAAGGAAGTAGCTAAGATGTTGAAGTCAAGGGGTCATGACGGTGGCCCAAATGCAGGCCAGACCATTGGGCAGTGCCCATACAGTTAGTGAGTGTGTGTTGACAGCACCTTGGGACCACGCAGCTGCAGCAACATTCTGCTGTATTGCAACCGGCAGCATTCGGACCCCAGTCGTGAGGACAGCCACCACAACGGGTTTTGGCAGCAGCAACAACAAAAACAAGCACAGATCCCCCTGCCACATGAAAGACTGCACCAACCTTCATTCCCCTGCAGCCTTTCTGCAGAGCCCCGGTGCTTACATGATAGAACAACTGCACTTCAGACCTACCCCACTTTTCTCTGTCAGCCACCACATCCCCTACTGAAATCATTTCCTGTTTTATTTTTAAGAGTGCTGCTGTCATCAGCTGTTGCTGGCATGGGGGTGGGGATGGGAAGGTAGTTTCTGCCCAATGAGCCCAATAACCAGATATCACCTCCTTCCCAAGGTGGTTTTTACTGTTGCTACTCTGCAAGACAGCATGGTGGTGGTGGGAACACCGTGAGGGAGGGTGATGCTTATCACTTTGTAGCATCTCTCCTGGAAAATCAAGTAAAAAGGACAGAGAGAGAGAGAGAGAGAGAGAGAGAGCCTCATTCAGTGCTTGGTCTACAGATCTGATGCTTCAGATCCTTGTGGTGCAAGAAAAAAATGCTGCAAAGGACAAGAGTACCCGTTTGAGAATGAGTCTTTGTAATTGAAACAGAGAGGCAGCTACAAATCCAAATTCTAGTGACAAGAGTGGTAGCCAGCATAGCTGTCCCCTCTCAATGCAGTCATAGCAGAAAAAAATCAAAGAAGGGAACTTAAAACTGAAAATGGTGTTAAATGATACTGCTAAGCTGCATTATTGCTAGTATTACCTTTGCCTCTGGGTCCCAGGTTCATGCTCAGTTTACATGGGACAAGTCTATTGGTCCATCATACTCTCCCGTGAGGATTTTTTATTTGTCTTAACAATACACAAAGCAAATGGCATGGTTTGAGTGAGATGAGAGTCAGACCAGAAGGCAGAACTGAAATTGGTGACAACTCAACTGCTGGAAATTATTTCACAGACTCTGGAACAAGCTACTCATTTTCACTAGAGGCCACTGTGCAGCACAGGATCAGCCCTTTCCACAGAGCCGAATGACCAGTGTCACATCGTGGGCACCGCTCAAGAGAGGTGGGTATGTTTTGTTACAATGAACTGATTTCAGAAAAGCCAAGAGTTTTTGCTCAAAGGAACTTTTTAAGAATTTACTAGTGATCTATTTCTAAAGGCAGAGTAACTGCAAAATTTAGCTGCCTTTTTTTTTTTTTTTTAATGCCAGAACTCATGTAATTTTCATGGCTGTGAATCAGATCATCTTCATTCTTGCGGCATGTATTTCACTTTTACGAACATTAATTTCACTACATTTTTAGAGTGGTGACTTTAGCCACAGCGTGGCTGCTGCTAAGTTCCCACGGCTACCAGTAGGACTTTTATGTGGGAAATCTGTGGGCAGCAGGGAGCCTCCCTGTTTGTATCAATATGAACTTCCCAAGCACATCAGGCTGACATTTTCTCAGCCCCAGAGTTGGAGCACACATGCTCTCACTTAGAGCTCCCTTTTCCTAAACTGAAGGACATGTGTGATCATTTTAATTTCGCCATTTTTCTAGCAGGCCTTTTGCGTACACAGAAATCCTGCACAAATGAGGTTTTTTTCTCTCCAGCCAGTAGAAGTCCAATCCTACAAACTGCTGAGTGCCAGTTGTAAGGCGCTAAGGGACTTGAGCGAATACCCAGAGATCCTGGTATGGAGCATCCTTCCAGCTTCATGGTCCCAGCATTCCACAGACCCTGAGCGCTGCAGAGGCTCCCATGTTCCCTCTCCACCATCAGAGATCAGGCTGTTGGTGCGGGCAGGTCATCATTGGCACAGCCGTCTGCAAGAGTTTCCCAGCCACTCACTCAGCGGCTAAGCATTCCAGAGATGACCAGACACAAACACATCTCCTGTACTTGCATACTGAAGCACTTTCTGCAGCTGGGTAATGAGTCAAAGAGCACATTAGAGACTGATTTTTTTTGTTGTTGTTCTCAGAACATAAAAATGTAGCAGTAGGGCAATGGGTGAATTGTATAGCTTCAGCTTTCTTAGAGATAAAATATTGCAGAGAAAAATCAGCCATGGTGGGACGCTGTGTTCAGTCAACCTTTAGAGAAGACCACACAACCCACAGACAAAACAGGACCACGCTCAGTGATCATATCTCACTCTTGCTTCCTATATGCAGAACTGCAACCACAGTAACTGTGGAAAGGTTTCAGGTCCACAATCACTAATGATAGGCACCCATACTCAGGCCTATGAGGCACCGGGAAGCAGGGAAGCAGAAACTTTCATTCAGCTTTTTATCACTTCAATCAAAAAGACTGATTTCTTTATCAGTGAGAGGTGCTCCAACTTTGCACAAAGCTGAAACCAAGAGAAATCTCCAAGCCCCAATCCTTAAAAACACTCACAGTTCCCTCTTTTTGATTCAAAGTGTTCAACTCTTTTATGAACTCTTCCTTTGGCAGCTGCTGCAACTTTCACTCCTTGTACCTGGCTGCAGGTGAAGTCCACGTCACACTGCTCTAGGCATATTCCTCAACATCACGCCACGTGTCCCGCATGAAGACAGCAATATTGTGAAATATACTGCTCTTCAGCTTGCAGTGAGAATGTCAACATATAATTTAGAGGGCTTGAAATGGAAAAGAAAATAAAAAGCTGAAGGTAGTTTTTACTGTTGTTGCAGCCAAGATAGTCTAGGGCTGTAAGTGTGGTGAGGTTTGTGGAAAGAGGCAATATCTTTCTCAAGACCAACAGACATATTTAGGGGAAAAACAAGATAACCTTTCTCTCGCTCAAAATTGCCACTTCTGGACTTTTAAATCCTGCACGTTTCACTGTAAAACCTGGAAACTGTTTCCCCAAGCAAGGCAGTTGTGCTTGTCAAACACCCATGACCCAGAGTGGCAGGAATGACCTCTCCAGCCCCTTGCTAAATGGGAACTTCAGAGATACCACATTTTGGCAGTGTTTTATTTAAAAGTCTCCGAACAATAAGCTTTTTTTATTTTTAGGAATGGAAGCACTGGAGAGTGTACAGCAGAATTCAGAAGCTGCGAGGTAGACCAGGAAGATTTATCACAGAGGGCTTGTGTACTTTTCTGACATCAGGATAGCTTTTTATATACCTGTTACACGATGCATTGAGCCATCTGCAATCTCCTTTATTCTTGCTTTCTCAGATAATGAGACCGGTAGCCCATCCCAGCCATGTGTCAACCATCTTTCAGTGTAAGTCAGAAACATGTACAGACACCACAACTGGAGCAAATTACCCTCTGAAAATCCTTAACAAGGGCTAGTGTAACCACTAGTGCAAGAACACCAAAAAGATTTCTCTGTTGTCTATAATTTATCCCTGTTTTGTAAGGCAGTTTCAGTGTCTGCATGGGCACATCTGTGTCTTTTCCCTTTGAAAAGCTGCTGAACTCCTTTGCCAAAAAAAGCCAAATATCTCAAAGTTACCAGCATTTCTAAAAGCCCCATGAAAATAATTAGCCAAACGGAAGAGAGGATACCCATACACAAGCTCCACAAGCACTCAGGCTGAAAGGGGAGCTGTGGTATGAACCTTCATGTTATCATAACCCCTGACACCCACTGTAGGGTGGAAGAAGCTTTGACACTTCAGTAGGGAGAATGGCTTCAACACCACTTTGTGCTCACCTGTTAAACAAATCCACTAAGTTTCAGTGGTCCTGATGTCTGAAGGATGTGGACATTAAGGGCATGCTCATTTTCAGGGTATGGAGCTACAGATGTGGTTTTGCTGGGGGCCTCTTGGCTTCACCCCGTTGAGTCAGCAGCCACCTAATCTCTCTCTACTGACTCCCTGACCTCAAACGACCACTGTCAATCCCACCAGGCATCTGCAGGCAGAAGACATGTGGAGGTGACCCAAGTGTTGGGCTGGTGAGAGGGGCTAGAAAGTAAGAAAAGTGCAGAAGAGGGAAGGGCAGCAACATAAACAAGGCAGAAGAGAAGGTGGGGGGAAGCAGGACAAAACTTTGGTCTCACTCTGCAAAACTTGTAAGAACTTCTTGGTGTCGAGTCATACGAAGGGAAAGTGGGTGGCTCTAGAGACACAGTAAAAATGAGATTAACTCACCTACTAAATTCTCAGTCATCCTCCTCTTCTAACCACTGCCAGGAAGTATGAATAACAATCTAAATTTAAATAGAACAAAAAAGAAAATACTATACAGCATGACTAGTCCACAAAGAAACCATGAATTTGCTCTTTTAATAATTAAAAGTGATCCAACAAGTTTTCCAAAGCAATCATCTCTTGTTCACGAAATAAAAGACTATCTTCACTGACCATGTATGCCAAGTGTGCTGCATTATCTGCCCAGATAATTGCATTATTTTGCCCATTTGGAAGAAATTACATTTTGTGAGAGTGACAAAGCAATTCCCCAAGTGCCAGTTATTTCTCTGCTTAGAAAATACCATGTCAAATTATTCCATTCATGGAAGAATTTAAATGCTTTAACTACCTACTTGCTCATATTTTGTAAATTATGGAAGAAAAAAATGTTCATTGCCACTACCAGCATGAGATGAATGTTTTACTGCATATGACCAGGCTTGACAAAATTTCCACTCCAAGCCCATGAGAGTTCAACTTGGGACATGCCTTACAGACTCTCTTTTTTTTTTTTTTTTTTCCACTTTTCACTATGCAGATTCAGTATATTCCTACAGCTCAGCTAATGCTCAACGTGCTTTGACCTTCAAAGCCATATTTCTAGATTATCTTCACTCTTGGGTCTTCTTCATGTGTTTACTTCACTGAATATTACAAATATCATTAATATCTGTGTCTCAAAAGCTCTTCACCCGATACTGTCTGAAATGCAGCTCTCTCCAGGAGAGACACTTCATTTTTAATCCCTTTCAACACTTCTTCACACAAGTCAGTGAGTGTAAATACTATGAAAAATAAATAAAGGTGGTAGGAGTGAGTTTGCAGACAAAACCCTCCCTGAGTCAAACTGTGCCCCAGCTTCCACATTAAATCACACTGATAGAGGTGAGATTGCGTGAATGCCACGGAGAGGGCTTTGGTTTGTTAACATCTGAGAGAGTTTTTCTCAGACACAAGAATAAGATCTGAAGTCCATTAAAGCCTTTCAAACACTTTGGACTCGGCTTTGAGAAGGAAGGGCAGTTGCTGGCGTTGAGTTTGGTTGTGTCTATTGAAATAACCCAAGTCACTGAATACTCGGTGCTGCTGCAATGGAAACAAAGGAGGAAGCAGAGCTGACGGGACTTCTGAGAAACATCACAAACCAGTTAACCAGACAGGAATTGAACAACCTACCAAACCATATGGAAAGAGGCTCATTTCTAGAGATATGCCGCCTACAGCCATCTTGTCTTTCAGTGCTCCAGTAATCAGATCCATACACATGGATTATGCTACTGGGCAAGAAAAAATATATCCTTTAACAATGTCCATAAATTACAGACATAATCAAAGTTAAAAATTGCATCTCTTTCTCTACCACTAAGCACAGCAGCTCCTGAGTAAAACTTCATAGTGTATTGCTTATTGTGCATCATACTGAACCTCAACAAGTCTAATTTCATGTTAAAATCATGAGCCTTTGCCTTTTATCAGAGAGAAAAAAGGGAAATTAGCACTCTCTTTTTCATGTTTCAGAACAAAAGTATAAGCTTTCAACTACTGTATTTGTGAAAGAAACAATCATAGCCTGTTAAAACAAGTTTTCGGTACTGAAAAGGTTAACTAATTTGGTTTCCCCGATAAGTTTATCTATGATCAGAACTGAGTCATACAGAAAACTCCTACAAGATTTGACCTTTTACTTGTATCCCACACTGAGATAATATTATACTTAAAATGGATATCAATAAGAACTTTGTTTTAAAAAGTATATTTAAAATAAATTACTTTTAAATAACAGAAACTGTTTTCAATTAGCCCTGTTAAAGGAAATCAACTAGAAAGTTATGTATGCTTTTTTATTTTCTTTATATAAATTATACCCAGGAGTCCTATGATAGCAGCACTGTACAAACTATGCACTACCTTTATATTTATTTCTTATCAAAATAAACTTAACAAATTAGATTTGTTTTTACAGCACTTTATATCCAATAATGACAATGTTGTATTGGTCCCAGGATAAAAACAATGAAAGTAGCAGCTGAATGGTATTTTTATTAAGAGTTAACAAAAATGTCTTGTGCAAACAGAGTATATAAAGAAAATTAATTCCATAATTCCTCATGATGAAGGCGTCCTTCTCTTTTTTCTTTTTTTTTTTCTCACAATATCAATCTCATTTGGAAAGATCATTTTGAGGGGAAAACTTTAAATTTTAGCATAACTTACTCAGCAAAACGATATGGCTGAACTTAAACACTGCTGACTGCTAGGATTTAATATTAGAACCTGGCAAATGTTTTGATAACTTAATACTTTTTAAAAGAAAACTCGTTTGTTAATGAAGATTTTGGGAGTTCAGAAGAAATATAATCTAAAAAATAACAGAGTTAAAGATCAAAGAGATGTTTCTTCTTTTTCCCATTTTTTCCATTTCCTCTGCCTTAAATGGGTTCCTCCATGCTAGCATTTTAGAGGCCTTTTTATTGCTAGTAGATTCAAATATCTCCGAGATATTCACCGTACAGCTCAGCAAGAGTCCAGGTTTTCCTCCAGCAGTGGAAAAATGGCAGGGCTAATAGTCTGGGATTTGTTACTAAAAATGAGTCCTTATTAAAAAAAAAAAAAAAATTAGAACATTGTTTAGAGCATGTGGTTTGCTGCTATTAAGTTAACAGTGGAAAATCTCATTACTTTTAAAGTTAATTTTATTTGTGGTGGGATTGTTCTCTAGGCTGAAGCAGATTTTCTCTTAAGTGGAGCCTCTAATCCTACCTTACAACCTTATAGTCTTCTGTTCAGCAAGTCACTCTCTGCATAGCTTGGCTAGATGCATGTTTGAAGTCAAGTGTTGAATTAAAAGGAAAAAAAGGAAGAAAAATAACTTTTCCCTGCATGTGACTCTGGGGCTGCCAGCAGGCACCCATGTGCCATCTTCTCCAGCTCTTGCTCTGACGAGTGGAGTTTTCCAATAGAGGTCTTGGGTTAAAGATGTTAGCAGTGCTAACAACGTTTCTGCCTCTAATGAAAGATTAGATGCTGCTGAGTGCTCTGACAGGACAAATTAGAGGTTGGGCAAATTCTACAAACCAGCTCCATGCAGGAAGCACCGTGGAGAAGTAGGGGTGAAAGATGGGTGTAACATGACCTGGTGGCCAAAGGGCTCTGAAAATCAAAGTGGCCAAACAGAGAAGAAGAAAACAGAAGAGTGTTCAGCTTTCCAGTTCAAGTTTCTTTTCAAATTTTGGAAGCAATTAATCTGACTTCTGACTTTTCATTGAGGCTACTTCATGATTTACAGCAACAGAGAACCAAATCTTCAATTTGAGGGGAAAATAACACCAAAACAGAAGCCTTGCTTACAGCTCGCATGCTATATATGCACATATATATATATATCTCCTACTTACAAGTTAAGATGACTCAAATCTAAACTCTCATGGTTTAAAATACCAAGTGAGATTCAGAGTCACATAATATTTGTGTTCCAGCAACAACCCAACATATGCTCGCACCATATAAAATTCACTCTTGTGCAAAAGTGAGCCATTATATTGCAAATTCCTCTCATAATAATTCTCATGTAACTTGTGTGAATCAGTCTACGAGCTGTAGTTCAAGATACCCTTAGAACTACAACCTCAGCCATTCCCCTTGCACTTTTACCAGTTCACCATGAGAAGCTGATATGTGAATAATCAAAATACATATGCACAAGATCACTGATTATTTGACATTTTGTTATGAAATATCACTTTGGCCAGTTTGGGTTACCTGTCCTCCTGCCTATGATCCCTCCCAGCTTCTTGTGCACCTACTCATTGGCAGAGCACGAGACAGTGAAAAGTCTTTGATTCAGAGTAAACACTTCTTAGCAACAACTAAGACATCGGTGAGTTATCAACATTACTCTCATACTAAATCCAAAACAAGGCACTGTATCAGCTACTAAAAAAAAAAAAAATTTAATTGTATCCCAGATGCCACCAGGACAATCTCACTGCAGTTCATCACTTTGTTTCAAGCCTGTTACACTAAAATTTTACAAAAACCGAAAGCAGAGCAGAGGACTGTTCACCACCCCACTGTGAATAAGAGCACACTGGAATGAGGGGTCTGATCTTCAGAGGCACATGAGCTCCTGCAGCTCCCACACCAGGTAGGAAGAGCAGTAGGTGTTCGGCAGCTCTGAAATACCAGGTTTTGAACTTAAAACACGTGAATCCTTGAATGACCTCCAAATGACGAAGTGGTTCCTGTCATTTTGGGACTAGGAGCCATGTAGAGCATTGTTAGAGATTTGGGAAATGAGTTCTCAGTGCTGGATATGACTGTAAAAACATACAGACTGGAATCTGGGTCTTACCTCAAATCCCTTGTTTTACAGATGAATAGAAGGTAAATGTAACTAACCTGGGCTGAGAAAATTTCATCTCTTGCCTATGTCTTAAGTAACAGCCAAACAGAAAATGAAGACAAGAATAGAGGGTGAAGCCTTAGAGCTGTGGCACTCATCTGTGCCACGGGGTTGTGAAACCAACTCATTTTTGACATCTCACACACGTGCAATTGGAAAGTGAATTTGCCGAAAGGGGTTATTTCAAGAGCTGAGTGAAACTAGCTTGCTCAGTTTGCAGAGGTTTTGTGTTAACTTTCTTATATTTTGCTGCATACAGTTCTACACTTCAGGACTTTTGTTTTGAGTTTTAGCTTCAAACAAAGCAAAACTGATTGTAAACCACTGTATTTTGAAGTTTCATGTTGAAACTGTATCTCACATGGAAAGTTTCGAAAGCCAGAGTGCAGAGTACTGGTAGCCTGGGGTAGCTCAGCTCAGTGTTCAAGCCAGAGACAAGATCTCCCTACACGTAGTGATATTGATACCTAGCTTTTCTATGCAGTACCATGTCTGTATGAAATACTCAAACTCACCTAATTTTATGTAGTTTTCTTCCAGGAATAATAGACGAAGCTATCCCAGAGCTGACAGACTAAACTAATGTTAAATAGTAGCAAATTAGTAATTGCTATTTTTAGTAGATTTGCTTCTAGCTAGTTCCCATAAGATTATTATAAATGCTTGTTTAAACAGAAATCCAGAGATAGAGATAACACTGTTTTCTGCTAAATGAATGCTGATTGCTTTCCTGTATCTTACCAAATATGATTTGCCAGAAGCAGCATGGTAGTGTCCAGAAACACCTTCCTGAAGGAAGCTTTCCTTTATTTTATTCACTTTCCACATTTATTTTCTTAGCAGCCCTTCAGCCCACTGGTTAACACACTGGATTATTCTTAATGGACTCGGAAAATAATTTCTGTCTGATTATCAGACAGCACTTATTATCATATTTCCATGATCATCATTTAACTTTCCACTACATTAATAACCAAGACTGATTTTACCTAGCAAGCAATCTAAAACCTCTAACTTGACAAAAATATCCTGTGCTTATTTTTTTTTCTAACCATCAAGGAAGGTCACTATGACAACTCCGGGTATCGGCATTTCTCCTGTGTGATTCATTTACACCAAGCAAACCCTCTAGACCTACATTTTTCCTTTTTTGAATTTCTGCTTAACCAATAGGATTAACAGGTCCCCTTCTCTGTGGGTGGTGATAATGTCAGTACACCACTGCCCAAATAACCTTTCTCTATAGGGAAATGCTAACATTTAATTCTTCAAATTTAAACCACATGTATTTGGGCCTCATAACAGCACTCTGTATTACTGCCTTTTGTTATTAATTTGTATCACTAAAAATCTTAATGAAACCAGTTATTGGAAATTTTAAGTGCAGTAGACATCTAAAATTTGCGTATGAGCTAAAATATTTAAATGATGGCTAAATATTTTACCTAATCATTGTAAACACATTTTCAGAATTGCTAATCACACAACTCTGTGTACGTTCAGTGTAAAGTTGTGTCTCAGAAGGGCTGTTCTTTTCAGCCCGTTTCAGGGGACAAAAGCAATGGCTTTCAAATGGTTTCTATCTCTTACCTTCACCTTATCCAGAAATAAAAAGTGTCATTTAAGTGCTGTCTACATGAGACCTCCACCAAGAAGAGCTAATTATGTGTGCATTGGCCACATCCAGTTTCCCTCCTGGTATTCTCTGGAAGAGGCACTGCCACTGTATACAGTCTTTGCGTATGTTGCCATTGGGTGACCACAAATATACAGCTGCCAGTGTACTAAAAATGTTGGTATTTGGGACAAATACTCAGGGACATCTTGTTCAAACAACATGAACCACAGAATCAACGGTTTCCCCAAACTGTTCCTCGGTAAAATTTAACACAACTGCAAATATTAAAAAACTAATAGATTAACTCTAAA